CCCTTCCAACCCCTACCATTCTGTGATTCTGTGATTCTGTGATTCAAGGTGCTTCACCCAAGCGAAACAAATGACCATCAGGGTAGAAGAGCCCAGGAAAGTGACGGAGGTGGTTTCCAGCAGAGGGGACCAGATTTTCCCAGTGCGCTCCCATCATATCCCTGCAGAGGCAAATCACTACGGATGTTCCAAAACTAAAAAAGAAATGGCCATTTCTTCCACATGCATGTCATGAAAAGGGCAATCAAGGCTTCTAAAGATGGCAGCAAGTCCGTGCTGGCAAAACCGCACGGAACTTACTGCAGTTTCGTCAAGTATTTGGCGCAAGCTCCAGAGGTTCCTCCATCCCCCACAGTCCCTGCTGCAGAGGGGACCACCAGCCTGGTGGCTCTGCTAGAGCCGTGCGAAGTCCAGTGGTTTTCTCAAAGTTTGAACTTCCCAGTCCCAGGAACAGGAGAGCTTCTCAGCTCCTTCCAGCAAACTGAAAGTATATCTCACTTCTTGCCCTTGCGGTTGTGGAGAGTGATGAGAAAACCTGACCTGAGTGTGACCGCCAAAAAGGCAGTAGAGAGACCTGAGCTGGCCTGATCACTTTGCACTTCTGCCAGGTCTGAAGCCAGATGGGTGGCTGTCCAGATGTAGATACCCCAGTCTGGGGGTCTCTCAGGCCCTGGCCTTGTGCCCATCACCAGACACAGCAAGGAAGAGCCAAGGGGACAGCGGATTTCCCTCCATTGCAGCAGGTCACTCTGGTCCTTTCTCGTCTCACCAAAAGCCCCAGCTCATCTTCTGTTTCTGGAAAGCTCCAGCAAGGGTGGGGAAGGTCTCTGGGGGTGGCATGGGGGGAGATGGGGGGGCTGGGACTTTCCCCAGGAGATCACAGGAGGAACTTTGGCTGGAGGGTGGGGGGAACCGGTAAGGAGTTGCTACATCATGCCCCAGTGAGCCGTGAGTAACTCCTCTGGTATTTCTTCCCTGTGCAGAACAGTCATCAGAGCCAGATCCTGCCCATGGGCAGGACTGGCAGTGCTGGCTGGAAGAGCCTGATGGGCTGTTGACCCACAAAGGCAACCAGATGCACC